TATTATTATTATTATTATTATTATTATTATTATTATTATTATTTAAAAATGTAGCTGTTTAAAAAAAGCAGAAAGAAAACCAAGCATATACATTGAGTCTTGGTGTGAGTCAGGTGGGAGGGAGACACGTGAGTCCGTGGACGCAGCGCGCGCTGACAGCAGCCGGGAGCAGAACCTGCGGACTGTTTTTGGATTTCACAGAGAATCTTTAATCACCTGTGGCTCTGCGTGTCTCACTCCCTGAGTCAGAAACACTGAGGGAGAGAGGGGAAAAAGCCCGATGGGTCGCGTGCAGGAGGAGAAGCAGCAGCACCTCCATCACAAACACGAGCGTCTCGAGCCGCTCCGTCTCCGTCCGGGAGGTGCGCGGAGGACGAGCTGATTCTGCGGAGTTCCAGGAGGAGGAGCAGGAGGAGGAGGAGGAGAAGTGGAAGACGGAGGTGGAAATCCCGCGAGAGAAAAGCAGCAGAAGAAAAAACGCACAGAAAGGCGTTGGGAGAGCAGAGAAGGAAGCCGCACGTGAGGCGCGCGAGCCCCCCGCGGGGAGAAACGGGAGTAATCTTTCCTCATTTTTGATTCTTCTCCGCACACAGAGCCGGATGAACGGGCTCTCCGGAAAAAGGTAAGAACCATCAAACATCTGGATTATTTTAATCTAATCCGAACGAAGCGAACACCTGTAAACAGCCGGAGCCTGATTGATCAATTAACCGCAGCTCTGCGGCCGCGGAGCTTTAAAAAGGGCGCAAACAAACAGCGCACCTCTGGATGTGACATGAGGAGTTTGAAAAGGCTGATTGTTGGAGGAGGAGCGGGTCTCCTCCACTTCTGCTGCTTTTGTTTGGTTCCAGCTCCTCATCTGTCCAACATGTCACCTGGTCTGAGCTGAGCAGCTTCATGTTGGCTTCATGTTTTATCACCACAATCTGTTTAATACACGTCATTAATGGTGCTGAAGCACAGAGAAGGCTTTGTGTGACTGGTGGGTGGTTTGTGCATCCTGACTGGATTGACTAATGCTGGAAAAAAAAGAGGGGGTGTAGCGGGAGTGCGCGTGTGTTTGCGCGTGTGTGAGCAGAAACCAGAGCTGCTGAGTTTCTCTGTTCTGTGCGCCTTTAGCGTGCGCGTTACGCAGCTTTATGTGCAGTGTGTGTGTGTGTGTGTGTGTGTGTGTGTGTGTGTGTGTGTGTGTGTGTGTGTGCGGCAGAGGACGGCGCAGTTTTCTGCAGAATCCCTGTGCGCAGTGGTGCTGAGGTGCATGGCGCACCTTTGGGGGTGGGGTGGGGGTGGGGGGTTCCCCCGCACATTAAACTCTTCTTCAGGTGTTTCCTCCTCCACCTGCAGCAGAGCGCGTCTGCTTTCAATCTGTCAGAAAACAGGATTAAAGCTGCAGCTGCGCCGCGTTAAAGCAGCAGATCCAGCCGCAGAAAAATCAAACAACTGGATCTGCAGATGTTCTGAAACATCTGTTCACCTTGTGGCTTCAAACAGTTCTCACCTGCAAAATAATCCCTACAAATAAATTAAACATGAAAGCAGGTTATTGTGCAGACAGTTTGGGAACTAATTATTATTATTATTATTATTATTATTATTATT